GAGTCTGCGAACGAGTCGCAGCGTGAACTGTGCAGTGGGAGAAGTACTGCAGCACATCCTTCCAACTTGACGGTAATCCGCTACAGCATGTTCTGTGCTCCTCCGCAGGCCAGTCTGCGTGTCTGCCTTCTCGCCGCGCGACGGCTTCCTGTCGTGTACCCATGCTTTGAGTCGCTCTGTGCTAGGAGGTCAGTATTGTGCGGTCACCATACGTTAGGACCTCCTAGTATCTACTTCTGTACCTCCGTATATCTGAAATGAGTCCGGGCACATCTGAATTGGAGATCTCCGCCGGGCTAACGACACGCGAAACAGTAATTTAGGCGCTGTCGCAAGATACGGAGGAATTTTCTAGGACTTTATTAGGGTGCTAGAACTTCCTAGAAAATGGAAATCACTCGCGCATCCTGGAGTCGCTCCTACCTGCCTTAGGCTCAGTCCCTTTCTCAACAAAAAGAAGATGTTTCACGTGCTTTTAAGTGTAGGCCACAATAAAGCCCTTATCTTGCGATAGCGCCTATATTTATGATTTTTGCAGCGACGGAAGCAGGCCTTTTTGGCGCTCTGACGAAAAACCCTCCGATCAAAAGTGTCAACTGTCATCCGTGAAACAAGGTGAACGCTCGATTCAGTCGATGAAGGAAGGGGGACCACTGCAGGAATCGAGAAGTGGTGGATGCGGACGAATCCAGGTTGACTGGAGAAAGTGTTGCGTATCCACACGTACGGCACCTGCATGGTACTGACTTTGTATTCCCGCAAAGGAGCCGCCGGAAAGATTGCGCTCTGCTGTGGCTTTTACAGCATGGCATACTTTGGAAATAGGGACTAAGTAGAACATATACCCTGAGCGTCATCGAAACATGAATGAAAGCGATTGGAGGGACCTTTGGCAGAAAAAAATTAGAAGCAGGCGTTTTAGCGACTGTAGAAGGTTATACAAAGTATCAAATCGGCGCAATGATAGCGGGAATTATAGGTCCACCTCTGATCATCAGTGGACCCGAGGTTCCCGCAGCGAGAAATGGACCGATGTTGCCGAAGCGAAAAATGTTTCACGCTGCGAAACGCAAAAAAGTCGTATTCTGTTTTAATAACCACACCTACACTTCTTCCACTCTTCACTCATCTCCCGTCTAGCATATGTTGATTCTGTGAAAAAGGCATGCCTTATAAAATACTGAAATCTGAGTTAATTCTATCCGGCAGGACAAAGGTACTGCCGAAAAGTACCGACAACACACTTGAATGCTGTTGTATACCTGTTCCTCGGCTCAAGCACTGTCGGCCCGTCTGATTTTGTTCTGCGTTGTATGAACACAGTGTGCGAGAATTTCTTGTCGAACCAGTTTAAACTAGCGAAAATCTTACAGATGTCCTCTGAACAGAACAGAGGAGCATGTCTTGTTGCTCGAGCAGTTCCGCCGGTACTGGCTAGCTTCACGGCACAGGACATGTCTGACAGATTGGAGAAACTCACCATCAATGACTCCACCACACAACGGAAAATTGATAAGGTGTTCCTAACAATTTGGCTCCATCTATCAACTTCGCGGAATAATTTTTTTGCAGATTGCGAACAATGTCAGTCCATCCGATTTTGTTTCGCTGCAAAGTATCAGATCGTCAGCTTTAGCTCGCAAAACGGCGACTTCTTCAAAATTTTGCAGCAGTGGGCCATCTCTCTTCAATGACCTACTCAACAAGGATCATGGAGTGGGAATGTTTTGCTCTCCCATGTCGCTTTGTACTCTGGCATTTATTAATTCCTTTAAATTCATTCATGTCTAGGACGTCACTAATGGAAAAGTGGATACGTCAAAAGAAATAGCTGGAAGAGAGAAAGCGAAAGATGAGAGTGATCATGGAGGAAACAACGAAGCGGAGAAGACTAAAGAGAATGACTTACTGTCGCGTGGTCCTGTGAAGAATGTGCGATCTTCTCAGGGTCATCATCCATACAGCATAAGTCAGTTAATTTCTTATTCACAACTTGAAAAGTTTGGATCCGTGAATATTTGCGCAACTATACCATGAAGTGGCGAAAATTCGTGCCAGCTTCGTACCAAATCGCATTGGATGCACTACGTCCGTCATTTGCCTTTTTCGGGTGGCCCACTAACCAGTTGATGCCAGGGTAAGCTATCCTGCTTGTGGTATTGTGTGCTACAGTCGTTATTTGAGCAGAGTAAATACATACCATTGTTGGTTGGTTAGAAAATAGTTGATAGAAATACTGAAAGGGAGACAGTGAAATTCAAGCCGTAGCTCACACATACCTAATGTAGATTTACGGGTTCCTCCT